TAATCTCACTATACATCAGCCAATCTCATCCTCCCCTCTCATGACAGGGCGCGCACGATTCCTATCATGAAAAAAAGGTTAATTGTGTGACCTGAGTAACGTGCAGTAACGGGGTGTCTGCAATAGTAACTGTGTTATAGTTACAGTCAAAGTAATTAGTTAGATTACTCGTTACTAAATAAAGGTAACGCCGTTAGTAACGCCGTTACTTTCAACGCTGTTACTCCCATCACTGAGACTGAATAACAATACCTTTAGAAAATAAGAGAATCTAGACCTTAAAATGGAGACATTAGATCTCTAATAACAATCCATTGAAAGCTCAGGCTGACCTTGCAGCTGTACCGTTAATAGGACGAACCAACTGAAATGGCTAGAACCTTGATTGAAACCGTCGACCGTTCAGCTGCAGAACACACTCCTCTATGCTATGCCATGGGTGCTTCTTGGTATTTCAAGTCATAATATGTCCAACAAGTTGTGGGTGTATAAACTGTACAAAGCATGAAAAATAGTCCTGCTTTTCAGATTTTTTAAATTAGAATTAAATATATAAGAATCATTTACATTTGGTAACTAAGAAACCAATTTTAGTCAGAAGCAAAAAATCAATAAATAAATCAAATGGAAAGAAATTAATATTCATGGAGGACCAGAGAGTCATTGAACCACAATTCATTGGTTAGACTGCCACACCAGGTTCACATAATGACCAATAAGGAGCTGATTAGTAGAGCGACTTTGATTGGTTAAACTGGTTTTCAGTGTGCGCATGGACCAGAAGGGTCCTGGAAAAGGTAAATGCTTTAAAATAAAATGGGTAAAGAAAAAGCAACAGCAAAATGCTTTTAAAATGCAAAGTCAAAAAGAAAATAGAGGCCCAAATTTTTCAAATATGTAATAAGGAAAAGTATTTATAATGAGATTTATGAATTGTGGTTTTTAAAATCTCCATTTAGAAATGGAGATTTTAAAACCTAGTAGTATTTAATACGGGATTCATAAATACAAATTGGAATTTCTATTTTATAACTCAATTTAAAATGTACAATTAAAAAACGTTTTTCAAAAGGAATTTCTAATTGTATGTTTCAAATATTACATTTCAAAAGGCCATTTTTCCTTTTCAGTGATTCTCGTCGTCCTACATAAATATTGAAATTAACTGGAATAAAAAGTTCTGATTGTGTTAGATTTGATTAATGGATTGACAATTTCCAACTGAAAAATAAATAATTTGATAGATTAATAACTTTTGCATGAAGACCATTTGAATTTATTTATTTCATTTAAGACGTTTTAATTGGTAAATATTTGAGACAGCTTTACTGACGTAGTGTTAAGCTCCGCCCCTCAATGACATCATGCTATAAATCAGTTTCCAGCGTCGTTGTTTCCGCCATTTTAACTTCCTGCTTCTAGAGCGCGACAGGGAGAAATTAGTTGTTCCAAACCGGCGTACTGTTTTACTTACTGTAGGGGTTTATTCAGATTATTTGTAGGATTTTGTTCCCTGACAGGAAACGCAACAACCAACAGTGTTTATTTTCTTACAGCTGGTCCTAGTTAGTCTCAGCCGGAGAGTCGCAATGCCGAGCCAGCCGCTGCGTGTAGCGGTTGTTTGCTCGAGCAACCAGAACCGCAGTATGGAAGCGCACAATATCCTCAGGTAAAGACGAGCCGCCATGAAGAAGAGACCAAACAAGAGACGCGACATCAAGTGAATCAGATCTCTGCCGTGTAAAGGGGGTTTTCCCAGCCGGTTACAAGCCTTGTCGACGCGGTGACAGCCCGCCAGGCCTTAGCTCTTTAACAATGGACGCTCACTTCTGGAGTGTCCCTCCGAGGGTGTAGTTCAGCCTATACACACCCTTATTACACGGCTTTAGATGGGCCGTTTACAGGAATGTTTTGTATACAATTTGTTGTTTTTTTTAAGCAGATGCAGGGATTTTAAAAAGCAAGGCCTTAGTTAATAGGTTGGGTTCCCCCCTCCCTCTGCGCACCAGCCTTCACATGTTGACAACAGCGCCTTCTGGATGGAAATATTCCAGAAGCAGAACTGCAGTTATGCAACTCACTTTCCCAACAGCATCGGAGGAGCTTCCTGTTACCTGTTTAGAACAGATGCAATCTGGGTTGACTCTTGTTTTTGTTTTACAATAAAAACTTGTTAAAATTTTGGATATTATAGCAGGGGTATTAGGGATGATGTAGCTTGATCTGGGAGGAACAGTATTCAACTCTTATATGGAAGGACTGGATCTTTATATGGTTGAAATTGTCCATTTTCATTGTTTTATTTTCTCTTCTTTCCTTGTTTTGCAGCAAACGTGGATTTGACGTGCGATCATTTGGGACTGGGTCTTATGTGAAGCTCCCTGGTCCATCCCCGGATAAACCTAATGTGTATGACTTCAAAACAACCTATGAACAGATGTACAACGACTTGGTCCGAAAGGACAAGGAACTGTATCCCCTTCGCACTCTTTCTTTCCTCTCAATCTTTCTCACATACACTTCCTAAGTAAACATCATACATCTACGATCTGTCACATGGTTGGTATTGTCTGGACTTTGGCTAGGTGGATAGTAAAAAAATGTGAGCTCCTCAAAAGGAAAATGTCTGAAAATAGTTATTGCTGTAAAATAAGAAAACTAGCCTAAAAGCAAGAGTTTCATTAGAACAGTAAGTGGATTTTGCAGACACTGTAACCTGCTTTTTTTCCCCTTTGTTTTATTAATTTTCAATATATTTTTGAGTGTTTTACCACTGTTTTCATTTTAGTTATTTTGTGATTTATAAACCTACACCAGTTACTGGTGCATTAGTTATTTGTCCAGCTTGTGGTTAGATTTTATTAGAGGTTAGAAACCCTATGGATTTGAGACATGCTGAAAAAATAAAACTCACTGAACATTTGAAGTTTAGATTTTACAAAATAGACCTAAGAAGATGAAGCCTGATCAAAGCTGCAGTGTCTACTTAATTGACTGCATTAGTTAAAAAAATATTTAACTTCACAAGGTTAATGTTTCGCAAGTCCAATATCACATCTCAGACATTTAGGCTTTTTTTTAAGTCAAAATATTTGTTTTCAAATACCCTAATATTTTCTTTCTTGGCACTTAAACACCATAATTGCATGATTTCGAAATTTATGTATATTCTGGGTATCATTAAAAATAGTTTAAGCCATTGACGATGATATAAAAAGGTGTTAGTCTTGGTGGCTGCATAGATACTCGACTAACAGAAAAATGGTATTGGCATTTATGGTGGTGCTCAAGTTTTGGCTTTTTTTTTTTTTTTTACACTTATAACTTGCACTTATAAAAGGTGCAAAGATAGAAACTGAATATAAAAAAATAAATGGCTTACAAAATAATGTACCACAAATGAGTTGGTGAAAAGCTTTACTCTGCTCATGACGTATTTCCGTTGCAGGCTGTGTTCTGCTCCCAAGCTTCTAAAATATTTAAAGATGGGAATATTTTCAATGTGAAAAGAAGTATTTTTTTATTGATTAAAATCTTTGGGCTGATATCTGGCTAGCTCCACGTTTACCTGATACAAATAAACCCATAAACTACTTGGGACATAACTTGGAGATTAACAACTTTACTCAAGTATTTCATTTTTACTCTTTCTGAAACTGTTTGGCAGCTGGGTAAGTGAATAAAAAACTTTAGTTTTTTCTTAACTTGTAAAAGTTGAGACTAAAGCATAGCTCCCTTTGTTAGGACTAACAGGCGCACATACATCCTATAACCTTTCACAATGTGGAAGATATGCAGCTGAAGATTCTCAGTCATCCAGGTCATAGTCCTTTCATACAAGGGGGGGAAAAAAAACGATCCACTAGACTTTGTTTCCAAATGTCTCCAAACTTGAGAAAAAAGTCGAGTGGATTGTTCTTTTTTTTCACTTTTTGCAATGTAGTAGACACTGTCTTACAGTTGAGTGAATGTGATGTAAGTGGATATTATGCTTGGGAAAAATATCTTGTAAGCAGGAGTTTGGGTTTGTTGGACATGTTGAATAACAACTTTAACATTAAAACCATTCAGAAGAGTGACTTGTCCAAGCTTCAACCTGTAATTATGGAACTCACCACTAGAGGGTGTTTGCACTTTAAGCATTTTCCCCCCTCTTCTACCAGAACCCATTAGTGAAAGCAAAAAGCGCGCTCTTGCGGTGCCATCCACTCATATTTTTGTGTTCCAACTGTGAGATGAGGTGATTGCACTTTTTGTTTTTGGCCTTAACCTGCTTATCAGATATACACAGAATGGGATCTTGCACATGCTGGACCGCAACAAGCGCATCAAAGTAAAGCCTGAGAGATTTCAACTGTGCAAGGATAAATTTGACCTGGTCATCACCTGTGAGGAACGAGTCTATGACCAAGTACTAGAGGGTAAGCTTTTGTTTAATAGACAATCTTGGATTAGTATACAAGACTTGATTCTTTTATTTATATATATTTCAATAAATTTATCTTAACCTTCTTTCTAGATTTGAATTCAAGAGAGCAGGAGACCTTACAACCAGTGCATGTAATCAATGTAGATATTCAGGATAACCATGAAGAGGCCACGCTGGGAGCTTTTCTCATCTGTGAGCTGTGTCAGTGTGTACGTATCTGATTCAAAGTCCTCTTAAAACAGAATGTGATCATTTCAACTGGACAGAATTGTTGCCTCATGGGTTTCAGATTAGGACCCAGTTAACGTGTATTCCTGCTTTCCTCCCTGCAGATCCAGCACACGGACGACATGGAGAATGAAATCGACGAGCTCCTGCAAGAGTTTGAAGATAAAAGCAACAGGCCTTTTCTCCACACCGTCTGCTTCTACTGATACATGAAACAAGTTTGCAATAAACACACACCCAGACCCCCTAGCAATGAATAGAATATGGAGTAGCCGTCTGTGTAATCTACGGATGGTTAAAGCAAGTGCGCGTTGATACGTGCATGTGCATCTGCACAGGCCCTTGATCCTTTGAGCCAGGACTCAAAGATTGAGAACTACTGGAAATAGTTTAATGGGTGATTCCACGGAGGATGGACTTGCTGCTATTATGCCTTTTATTCTTCTTGATCAGGGTTAGACCGCAGTCCCCCCACCCTGATCCAAGTCAAATGAAATCACATGACCATGTCTCCTCAGGGAGAGCTAGGACACAAAGCCCCTCTTTATTAAGTTGTAAAGCACATTTGTGCTCCTTTTATTTTTGTTTAAACATTTAATTTCAGTATGAGATGATGTATATGTGTACACACAGGAAGTGAATTGTATTTTATTTTGTGCAGCCATGTGTTGTAGATAAATTTGAATTAAGTTTAAGAGGGCGGGCTAATGATGAATAACCAAACGTCTCAGAGGTGCTCAGCCGGTATGTTTTGAACGTAATGTACTGATTTATATTTAAACTGAAATGCTGTCTATAAGGGCATAGGTTTGTTTTTTGTAAATGTTTAAGAATTGAAGCTTTGTCATTTTCAAACTGCAAAGTTCATCTGAGTGCCTGACTTTTCTGTATGTATATGTATATATGAATCTACTAAAAACATGTAAGATATTTTAATGTGCATTGTTTTCTTTTTTTCCAGAACATTTTATTTTTAGGAAATTTGTCACTAAGCTATAAAGAAACCAAGGATTTTGTTTTTAAATGGGTGCGATCCTGTGCTCGTGAAGAACTAATTTGATTCATAAATACTTTAATCCAGAATGGAAATTAGATTTCACTGGCGCTCATGGAGAAACCTTCAAGTTGTGATATTAATGGCTGTAGGATCTGTAGAGTTCTGTTTTACTGTGGATATGGCCTCCAACTGCAGATACTGCTGGAAACAAAATAGTCTGCAAAAAAAAAAAGGTTCCAGTTATCTTTCATAAGTATGATTTCATCATAGATTATCCTCTTGTTTCACAGTTACTGTTTTTCTGGTGTAAAACGAGCTGCTGATGAAAGCAGAGATAATACTCATCAAAGAGCAGTCCTTAAAAATACTGAATAATATATAAATATGTATTTGTATAATATATATATATATTCATATACTGCCATGTTTATATTATTTAATTGCATTTTATATATATATATATATATATATATATATATGGTTAATCCAGTCTGAGTTCAGTTTAAATAGTTTTTAATCTAATAAATGTTTAATCTAACTGAAAGGTAAATTTTAATTTTTTTTAAGGGGTGACATGTAGGAGATTATTGTAATATCTTTGTCGTGTCTCAGATGTGATTAAAATGAGATCAAGGCACCCCCTATTTATTCTGACAGCAGCTGTCTGAACTACAGTCTGATCCAAGATGGCCAACCTTTAGGCATGTCGGCCTTGAGTTTTTATGGCATTACTGCTGAGTGTATGATTTAATAAAGTCTATTGCCTTTTAAATGATATTAAATCCAAACTTAAGTTTCCTAGATTACTCACTGGGTTCCATTCTCTCATATGACAGAAATTAAGTCCATGTACACGCCTTTAATCAGTGGGTTGAGGAATCAACTGTAGGAGCTTTTGAAAATTTAATGCTATTTATCTTTTGGACTCCTAGTAAAACAGACATTTTTGTACATATATCACACTTTTAACCATTCAGAGCCTGGATCATGAAATAATTGACAGAAAATTCAAAATTGTTGTTTTAAATTAGAGTTATCATTGAATTTTCTGACAAATAACAAAAAAGAAAATTGTAAAAGTAAATCAGATGATTTATTTGTATCCATTTTGATACATTAGGCATTTCTGTATATTCTTTTATATGTTTTCTGTTCATATGTGACTGTAAGTTGGGGTTTCCAAGAACAAAAAAAAAAAAAAGAGGCGCAGAGGTTTAAAACACTTTTTGCTTTAAAGGGGCAAATACTTTTCCTGAAATCCTCTATTACAGAACTGAATAGAAACCTTTAATACTGTAGATCACTAATTCGTGTCCAAATACTATATAAAATTGTTGGTATAAACTGCTTATTTAAAGGTGCCCTTTAAGTCACTAACAGGATAACTGAACAAGAGAGACGAAACAAAAGTAAAAGAAAAAATGAGATCATTCATTTAAATGAAGATGGCGTCCAAGTCAGAGCTGATAGCTGAGCTGGTTGACAAACAGGCAAAAGATGTAACACAGAAGGACGAGGAGGATTCATAATGGCTGTGTTCCATTTCAGCGGCTGCTTCCTCTGAAGGACCCAGCCTACCTGGACTGGGTCTGTCGAAGGCATTGAAAATAAGGAGGCCAGAAGAGTTGGGCTATAGATTAAAACAAGTCTAGGACTAATCCCAAACTGCCCCCTAAACACTAACACTTAATCAAGTGTGACTCCAAATTAAGTCACACTCACAGCTGTGGAGGCACCTTGATTGGAAGTGGAGGGGTATAAATGAGAATAGGACGGCCCCTTCCTTCCACCAGAAAGCAGGAACTTTGTGGCACAGATCCTCATATTTAGTCAAAACTATTTCATAAAGGTCCTTCCCTTGCTTAATCATCAGACATTTGTTTTCATATCCAAATGTGCAACTTACTGATTTTAAAAGTAATTATCCATTAATTTACCCAAATAAAAAAAAATATATACAGTCACAAGATAATCAAGAAGAACCCATTTCAACATCTTCAACTTAGCTTATAATCAACACTTAAAACAAGTGTGGGCCGAACTTTCAGTAATGGTTGATCCCACAAATCAGTGTAAAATCTGGGTTCCAGCTCCATCCCTTCATTTTAAAGCAAAGGTAATCTCCCTAAAAGATTCTTTACAGATCATTATCAGGTACTCACCAAATCACTGAGTTTATTGCTGTGGCTCAAAACATGATTTGCACATTAGAAAAATCGAACAGGATTTTGTTAGAAAAGCTTTTTAATTTGTACAGAGAAACTTGACTTTGCACGACATTTATAATAGTGTATTAACAGACATATTGTCTTATTTCTACGTAAACTTCATGTTTGCATTGTTTACATTTTATATGAATATGAAAGATTCAGGCATCAGTTGTGTCATGACACATAATTATCTCTCCATGCTGTTACCTAATCTGAATGAACTTTGAGACCAGTTAAGAGGGACGGGCTCCAAGTCCCGTTAACTCAAACTGGGGTTCCATCCTTGGGAGAGGAATCTGGCTTTCTTTTACCGTCAGGTTCAGGTAAAACTTCATCGGCCGTTTTACCTTCTGCTTTAGCAGCATCTGCACAGTCTTGTATAGCTGGATCAGCATGTTTGCCCTCTGCAGATTCTACTGGGTTTAATTTAAGGACTGGCGCCATCACCTCCTGAGCATGAGGCGTCTCCTTCAGAGGGAGAGTGAAACCCGTTTTTCCATCGATAGCTCCTGCAGCAGGAGGTGTTAGGCTCTTAGCTGCCTCCTCCTCGGCACGGAGCCAGTCCATCTTCTGATTATGCTGCTTGATGGCGTCATCAACCCGAGCATCGATCATCGCTTCTGTTAAGATACCGTCCTCAGAGGAGTATGCTGCAGCCTGTGGGTGATGGAGGGGACAGGTTTTCAGAGCATGTTGCTTTTTAGAGGAAAAGCAAAAAATAAACTGGAGGAAACGTACCTGCCAGGCAACACCCAGCTTGGAGATCTCCCTCCCTGACATACCCTCCGTCTTCTTGGCGATTTCAGAGCACTTTTTGCCGTAATCAAACTGTGCGAGCTTCAGCCTCCTTTACATTGACAAAGAAACAAACATAGATATAACCTAGGTGTAGAAAACAAGGGTAGTTCAGGCTGAATTTCACTACTTCATGATGGTGCTTACTGTCGCCCCCCAGTGGCCGGCTCCAGCACGTATTTGTCAAAGTACAATCGCACCAAGCGCTCCCTCTCCTCCAGACCGGGCAGAGCAAAATTCACTATTTCATCTATGCGGTCATTGATGGCCCAGTCAAACTGCTCAGGCTGGTTACTAGCCAACACCAACATAAACCTATGGGGGGTGTCAAGAGAAAAGCAACTTTAACTCTGTGGCTAATGTGCCGGTTAGAGCGTTAAACCTGTTAGAATCATCCTTACTTGTTGCTCTGCTCTCCAGTGCGGTACAGGAATGCATTCAAAGTGGCCCTGAGGTCTTCACTGATCTTCTCCTACAATAGTAAGAAAAAAAGTGTTTAAAGATCATTTTCTTTCCACATTCACCACATTACAGCCAAAGCAATACCGTACATCTGCAACCATGTGTGTTCATTTTCTAAGGAAAATAGATCAAGCTCATTCAGACTGGATGGATGGAAGGTGTCCATGAACATCAGTTTTCAAATCCAGCCACAAATTCTTAATTGGATCTAGGCCCGGACTTTGACTGGACCATTCCAACTAATGAATATGCTTTGATCTAAGCTATTCCACAGTAGCTCTGGGTGTAAGTTTAGGGTTGTTCTTCTAGAAAGAACCTCCACCTCAGCCTCTCTGAAGGCCTGAGAAAACAAGCATGATGCTGCCACTACTGTGCATCAACATGTGGTCATTGTATTTTGTGAGTGTTCATTTCCTTGCTTGCAAAAGATATTTGGATGCAAAGAAAACATTTCAGGTTCATCTAATCTAATACCAGCAGGTTCCTCTACTTACTTGCTGTAATAATTTAAACAGGTTAATGGTTATAATTATAAATTGTTTTCTATATCCTCTATTCTATAATCATTAGAATGTAGAGCAGAAGACACCAAATATAAAAGCATATCCCAATTTCTTATTTTTTTATTAAGCAGACATTTCCTTTTTTTCCTATACCCACTTCTCCTGCTTCACATTGGTCTAAAAAATAAATCAAAATGTAATGTAAGTTTTTTGTTGCAACATCACAAAACACATTTAGATGCCACTGTGTGTCCAGACTTACAGTGGCTCTCTTGCGAAGGAATGCATCAGCCTCGTCCACAAAAAGCAGCAGCCTGTCACAAAAAGCAAGTCTTAAGATTCTCCAGAAAGCAAACGCTAACACCTTCATTAGCGCTCTAATAATTTGCATTACTCCAGGAGCCTACCCGCGTCTGCTTGTGTTGGCCCAGTCAAACACTTTATGCATAGCAGTCACACCGTCCCGACCCATGGGTGCTACATCACCACCGGTCATTATAGCATAATCCATCCCAGAATGCATTGCCAGTTTCTACTCGACACAAATAAAAACTGATATTAGCACATCACTTCATTTGGTCTCAGCATACTGCTCTCAGACCTCAGCTGCACCTTAGCAAACAGGGTTTTTCCCGTCCCAGGAGGGCCGTACATGAGGATGTTCCTGTAGAGGCCGTTATTCTGCCTGGTGTTTCTCGTTGCAATGGCGATGTCACGCACCCGTTCCTCTAAGGACGGCTAATATGGTGGGGGAGGGAATGATGGAGCCATAAGACACAAAATTCTTCAATATAAACATTTCATCATTCAATGATTAAATCCACTTACCTTGAGCACAACTCCTTCCAGTGCATCCTGAGGCTTACTCTTCAAACGCTTCACCGTCTAAACAGACAAAAAGGATCAGAATTCCCTTCATTCAGCACCTGATGCCTTTTCTATCCAAGAATTCAAATAAAAACCATTCAGTGCATG